CTTGATCAGATCGTCAAACATATTGACGTGCATATGTATAATATATGTATAATATCATGTATGAAGTTTGATTGTGATTGGTCCAGGCATTTCTAAGATACAGGTCCGGACGCACGCACAGACGCACGCACGTACGACGCACGCACGCACGCACGCACACACGGAGGTCAAAACATAAGTCCCCGTTTTCGGACTGCGTCCGAACGGGGACTAACAAAAATCGCTAAAAATAGGCGTTAGGTAATCTCATGTACTAACACATCAAATATGCAAGCAATTTCAGTAAATTTTAAGAAGAAGTGTTATTTATGAAAAAGGTTGACGCCGGGAGACAAGCGACGGAACGACGCGGACGAATAACTAGTCATATCAATGCCACCGCAAAGCTAATAATGCAAACTGTTCGACCAAAATGGTTGAGAAAAAAATGAAGGGGTTCAAGGGTTATGTTTTGAACATACAGACATTTCCATGCAGTATCAAGTACTTTTAACGCCCATGTATTCGTTTGGTAAAAAAATACATGCGATATTAATTGCTGGTACGTACTATTTTTTTGTTTTAAATTCACATTTAAATTCACGCCACCAAAACATTTTAAGGAATGGCACTGAAGGCGTATACATGCGACGTGGGAATAAAGAGTGCACTCCTTTTCCTTTGATGATGTATTACATACCTATGCATCCTACGGTAGGTGGTAGCGACATTCTTCATGATCGAGAATCCACTGGTTGACGCAACAATTCCTAACTCAGATTGAATTTTAAGCGCGTGCTTATAAAGACTGACGGCCTTGTCGTAGTTCTTAAGATCGTGGTGAAAAGCAGCCATATTTTGAATGAGTGCCGGTGTATTGAAGTGTACTTCCGAGCCGCCATTCAGTTCGCATCTTAAGTCATAGGCTTTCTTAGCATATGTCAGTGCTTGTTTCACAATAGAGGGTAGGATCGTATGCTGGGAATCATCGATGGCAAGTTTATGGGTCGTCACGCTTATCGATGAATACAGGTTGACCATTCGGTCTTCGATATCGTCATCATACTTTTCATATATTCTCAATGCTCGTTGTAAGTATCTGTTGGATTCTTTCGGAAAGTTTCGCTCAAAGAATATATCACCGATACAATGATAACAGCGTGCCTCTGCTAGTTGGACATTTCTAGCAGTCTGATCTGGCAATTTACTTAGTACATGCAGCGCGTCATTAACCATAGCACACAAATGACATTCGGAGTAACCTTTTTCTAGGAGCTGCATCACCTCGAGGCACCGTAACTCCGCAAACTGTGCTTCATTCCCAGCAGCCTTCTCTGCTTGAGCCCGATCCTTGTAATAGTGATATCGTTCATTTGCGTTTAGTAATATATTCAGTATTTCTTCGATCGATGCCACTTCCTGGATGTCGCCATAGAAACCAGCTTTATCGCATATGAGCTTGAGCACGTTGCGGAAGTTTCCAGAATCTTCGGCTTGAAGTTTCATAGCATCTTGAAAATTGGAAGACACCAGTTCATTCATCTTTTTTAGTCTTGTCATGTAATATTGTACGTATCGCTTTTCGGCGATCTCATACCACTCTTTCACCTTACTGTCCTCCTGCATTTTAATATCCCGGATGTATGTCCTTATAAGGAAGTGGATGACGTATCTTGGTTTTCTGTTGCTATATTTAGTGGTCTCGCTCGTTTCTATTAAGTTTTTCTTCTGTAGCATCTCAATTTTATTGTTTGCTTTAAATTTTCCAACATCTTTATCGATTGTTTTCCCGCCAAATGTGCTCTTGTAATAAGTATCAAGGATTGTTGCTGCTGCTTTCGCGGTGAATGACCCCGGAAATACGGCCAGCATTATTAAGTCCATTTTCTCGCCCTCGTTTAAAAATTCAACAACACTCCGAAAACCGGCTTCAATTTTGTGATCTGCAGCGAAACCTCTTTTCTGGAGAGAAAGCAAGGTGTCTGACGGTTCACATTTTAATTTGGCAACCATCTCCTTCACTTTGATTTCCGATCCCTGGAGGCTTCCAACAACCATTTTCATAAGCAGCGGACACATCCCACACTGTCTTGCGAGGCTCTCAGAGTCTTGCTTAGTGAACTGGCGCTCTTTACTGTAGTCTCGAATGTACTGTGAAGCCTCTTCCAAAGTCAAACAGTGTTCTGACGAATCTAAACGAATTGTTTGCAAGACTTCGTTCAGTGTATCTTCGTTTTCTGGTATTCCATACAGAGTTGTGATGATAAGCTTAACACGTGGGGTGCTCAAATCTACCAAATCACGAAGGAATGTCAAAAACTCTTTTCTGAACACGTTAGTGTTACCGTCACTATCTGGTTCGAGTGGTCTGTCCACATTGTCAAGCCAAAGTATCATACGACGACCTGTATTGTAGTGAAACAGATGTTATATGCATGAATCCGAAGTGAATTCCAGATGAAATGAACGACGATTTAAAGAGGATGCGCCCAAATTTATGAGCGCACATCATTTGATTTTATATTGATTTGTCAACAGAATTTGAAAATAAAAGTGAATGAACCTAGTTTCAAGTATTTTAAAAATGTTAAATACATATTTTAAAATTATTAGCCTAACAGAAAAACGAAACATAAGGAAGGTCGAATTAAAAATTAATTTGGATTTGTAATTAGAAGTGTCAGAATATTGTTAAGCAGTTTGTGCTTAAAATGGAAAATACAGTAACAAATAAAGTAAAGAGTATTATATTGTAAAAAAAAAGGTTTGCTTTTCGTCACTGTATGCGACAGTTGGGAACCTGAGCCTCACACATGTGCAATTTCGCACACTTCCGGTGAAGTACGCCACATACGGTATAATGATAACAATTCGTACAATAATCACCTCACATATATATGTTATTTGCTAATGCAGATATTTAATAAATCTTATTCTTGTGGAACTGAATGATCTAACAGAAAAAACTATATGAAAAAAAAAGCAAAACCTGCCCATATGTTATCGTAACATCAATGACCGTGACCCTATTTTGGGGTTGTTCTCAACGTGTCCGTAACAAACAAATACTCAATCAGCTTGGAATCAGGTATATGTACATAACACAGAACATCAATTTATTATAATAATTAATCGCTCCAAAACTAAACTGTTTAATTGCGTTTTCTGAAAACACACTTGTGGTCGGGACTTGTCATATGCATTCAGTGACTGTTGATGTTTTGCTAATTAGATCTTTTAGTCATGGTTACGCGACTCTTTCTCGGTGAGAAAACACAATATACTTGCTAGACTCACTAAACTTTAAGCAAGAATAGCTACCTACACACAGCTTTAGGTACAGTGTCATTCCTCTAATATATGTTTATAATCTCCACCCTGAACATGCAAGTTGGTGATTCAATAGTCTAACGGCGTGTGAACCGAAAGTGCGAACGTGAAGTCGCTATCATAACAACAGAATAGAATTAAATAACATATATAACACATCGAAAAATTGACATTTACGATGAGAATTAAATAAGAATATTTTTATGGAATGTATCGCCTTTTTGATCTCGATAAACTAACTATTGTTTGGGGCATATATTTTACGTCGGCTTTGATTTTGTTGTTATCAAACTCGCTGGCTATTTTACCAATTTATGATTATGATTTGGAAAATATCTGTGAAAAAGTTATTAGATTCTTATGGAAGCATTATCCACCGCATCCTAAAATGTCGATGTTTGAAGAAAACACCCACCTTTCTTGTAATTTTTTATCTTGTGAAGTACCCTGAATCTATCCTCTTCTGAATCTGATTTTTCACGCTGTATTAAATTAAGCGAATACATAATAGCTGGCAATATACTGTCTATAGTATCTTTCCCTTTTAGGTCCACGGGAAACACCTCCCATCCGTCATTCATCGTGTCTACGCACACTTCTCTGGCCAAGCGGGTCTTTCCCATTCCCGGTAGCCCGGCGATACAAACGCCCCCTATCCGAGTGGTCGGTGTACACAGCGTGTCGCGTATGGCACACATGGCCTTTTCTCTACCGATGAATGGTTCGAGATTCTTTGAATGAGTCACACCGGCAACGCTCCCCATTTCTCGTATCTCTCGTTGGCGCCCCTCTTCGAATTCCTCCAGGAATTCCAGCAACGAGGGGTTGATTTGCTCCAACAGTTCACGAAGTAGGTCGGTGTCATCAATTCCGAGTATATTCAGGCGCTGGAGCACGAGAAACAAATCAGCGTAGTTCTTAATCTGTGCTATTTTCTCGGCAATTTTTAGACTATCATTTTTGTAACGCGAATACAGAAGCTGCTTAGCGATTCTGACATCCTCATCACGAAACTCTTTAGCAATATCGTTTAAGAGTACAGACCACTGTAAACTCGTCTTAGTAGAAACCATGTTTACGTAGTTCGTATTTTCAACGGTTGTTATGTCGTAATGCATATACGCATGACGGGTATTTTGGCTTCCGGGTCAGGATTATTTTACCCACAATGCATCTTTAATTACGATCAACACGGCCAGTTAGCAAGTTAGTTTTACCGCATACAACGCTTGCCTATTGGGTTGTGACATAGGCACTTTACATATATCTGAAACGGATGCAACTGCTCTGTAACTGTACCCAGACTGTTGTATAAAAGGTATATATAGTTGTCATTACATTGATATCATTTCGGGGGCGTATGCAGTTTAGTGTCAAATTTCGATTCATTTTCGCACAGTGGAAATCGAGAATGGGTAATGTATACATTTTATTGCTGAATTGAGTAATTGTTGTACGTATAGTTGCTCGTCGGTTGGACCGCCGATGATGCATGACAACCCATCTCGACTTACAATGAGTCTGATTGACGTATAAAAAATAATGCCCAGTGGCGGCGGCACAGGGGGGGGGGCACAGGGGGTGGTCACCCCTCGAAAAAATGTTGGGGGACGTCGCCCCTCCAAAATCGAACTGAAACCCTTTGTGTCAGCAAAATTTGCCCCTCAAAATGCAGGAAATAGCGTTTTAGAGGATCTAGATTTCAAAATTGTCAAGGGCGGGTTGCCCGAAACCCCTAGTAAGATCAATTGGTTGGTGAGCAGATCTCCCTCTATGTAGAAGTTCGTGTCGCCGCCTCTGAAGACGTTGAATTTATTTCGAATAGTGCGAACTGTGACGTAAAAAATATACTAGTATTCGAGTCACCTAGGAAGAAATGTATTTCTGCGTTCTCGTGAATTGTGTGTAAAATGATATTCCAACATTCATATGTTACGTAATATAGCTTGTTTTTTCTGAACTTTGTATTCGTGTACTTTGGGCAGATAATGACATTTCGTATTACTTGTAAACAATGGGATTATTGGATACTTGTTATGGTCAAAAGAAAGAGCGACGGTGATTGGAAGGCAGAAGTCGCTATACTCTCAACTAATCCTAAGCGTCGGCACTGCCGGCACCAGGCGTGTCAGTAAACTTTGAACTTTGTAAATGTGGCAAATATAAGTTATATCTACATACGGTGATGTATTAATCACGGGTTAATCACGTGTTAGTAGCGTGACATTGATAAGATGGTCATGGATCGGACATCATCTCAAATGAGTTATACCCATCTACCACGGTTACAATTGTTTTGATAGTTGAGGTCAGTGTAGTGGTCAGCTTTAAATTTGGCTTATTCGTAACACAGAGTTTAACTTATTGAGGTGTATGAACTGTTATTGTTATTGTCTTTGACAGGTAGATGGTGACCATTTTGTATATCCAGATCTAGCATTGCCACCATGGTTCGTCAATATTGTGTGATATTCTTTCTCATTGTGACCTTACTCCAACAACAACCTGTTGAAGGCCAGTTTGATGGTAAACTCCGTTCAGATTCAGTGGATGAAAACAAGGTCGATGAACCCTTGAGTGACATGCACGGTCACAAAGATGAAGTGAGTGATTTGAGTCAGACACGGGGACATGGTAACAAAATGCCAAATATGGACAAAATGTCTGGAAAACAGGACATGATGGACGTAGAACACGGTGGCGGGGTTCATGAACCAACTATGGGCATGATGCAAGAAAGTCACAATAACATGACATTTTCACACGCGCATGCTAGACATGGATTACGTGACAAAGATATGCAAATGATACAAGACGATAGCAACAAACATGGTACAGGTGATACTGCCACGGTAATGCCAGGACACCAAATGCAGGCGCACGTAAGCCAGCAGCATGTAGACAATGATAGCACTTATTGTGTGTTGATCGGCACCGTTATAGCAACATGTATTCTCCTAGCAGTCAATGTCACGTTGTTTTGTTTTATTAAACGGATAAATGAAAAGACACAGAAAAAGGACATCGAAGTACAAGTGCACGTTCTCCAGCATTCTGCCGAACGCAGTGCTTTACTTAATACAGCGCCATCTGTGGTTAATACGTTTACAGGCTCGCACCAACAACCCTTCACGCAAATTCATCAAGGTTGTCCTTGCCACTCACAGAAGCCATGTGCACAAGACTGCATCGTACACTGTGGCTGTAATCCCGATGTTTCCACGCCAACAACCTGGAAGAATTATTCCAATAAGCGTATATTCACAAACACAGTTGAAAGAGAGACAATTCTATAAATAATAATCACCAATAATTCAACTACTTTTATATTTTTCTTTAAAATCTTAATAAATTCATATGCTTTATATTATTTTGTGATTGTGTATTTGTTTTACAATATGACGAGTTGCGTTGTACTTTTTATTTTCGTCAAAGTATTCTTTAACCCGGTTATTATCTTCTAAAAATTGAGTACATAATATGCCATTTGTAGTTGTCGGATGTCGCGTGCATCAGAAACCCACAAATGGTGACCGCGCATGTATGTTACGCCCTCTAGGGATAAAGAGATGCTATGACGTAGATGGGTGAGATGAAGGTCGTTGAAAGCTTCGATGTCGTTTTGATCCATCAATGGAGATGTTGTTTTTGGTAGATTTTTTTAAAATCCTAGATAACGAACGACTACACAACTAAACACAGTTGTCGACTTGAACGATATTGCCTTCATCCATATACGTCATTCTGACGTCACAGAATCCACTCGTGCACTCTTGAGTAAATTTTTCAATAGTTTAGAAAGAGCCCTGCCTCCTCGCTATTTCCACACGTGACATCTTGGCTGAATAAATGCTGCTCAGCCACTGTTCAAAGTTTATGATTAACAATAGCTATTCACAATTTATATACAGTTAATTATAACTTGGCTAGACAAGTTGACCAATCAGAATCCCCGAATTACATTGACAAACAGTCGATAGTAAAACAGTCAAAAAAATAGTCATTTAGCATACGAACAAAGTACTCGAATCTATGCAATTTTCTAGTAACAAAGTTTAATCCCGCCGCCAGAAATTGAAACAAATTGTCATTTGTTCAGGCCTGGGATAATTAAATAAACGAATCAGATTGGTCTTACATTTCTGTTATATTGTATTATATCGTGATGACACTCTGCATATGAATACATTTACAACGGTTTAAAGCGCGGTGGTCGTTGCGCAGCGCGTGTTCGAATTTCATGTAAATAAACAATGTATTTTACACGCGTTGTATACGTCGCTATGAGTTCCATACCGAACAGGACGCGGCGCGACGACTGCCGCCCTTCAAATATACATAGACAAAGAAAAACAATGTGGATTCTACTTGATTTCTTTCAAAGAACTATAATTACACGTACGACCTGAATAGACTCAGGCTAGTAATGGCCAGTAAATGAGGCAAGGATAATAATAATACAGTGACAAACAGTGAAAATCGGCAGAGAGTATGTCTAATTTGATTGTGCCTGTATGTTGAGGGCGCAATTCACATGACATGGACATGACGTGACTCATAAAAGTGATCATACAAGTACGATATTTATTTCTAACATTTATCACCACAATGAGAATCAATGTAATTCAAATGACTAATATTAATAATTTTTTTAATAAAACGCGTGACCATTTAGAAAGACAACATCGACTTGCAAATAACATGTACCAGTCTGCAACTGACGCTTGTAGGCTTGCAGTCGTCGTTGAGGGCACAACTGCCATAGCCGAGGAGAATTAAAACAAATGATACTTTGCCACCAAATGCGAACATCTGCTGGAGATGGGTGGGGTATAACATATACCTCCATAGAATAACTTAGTGAAACGTATTTTTGTGTCTTCTCGTCACTCGAACAAGGGTTTTCAGTTTCAATGAATCCGTGCATGTATTCATTACATATTCATTTTTAATTGAGCATTCTTGTTTAGTTTATTTATAATTATACAATAATTATATACAGTGATAATGGTGAAATAAATTCAAACTCGGCTTTTAACGGCAAAATAAATACCCCTCCCCAAGTCCAGGTGAGTCAGTTGAAAACTTGGTTCAAAAAGATGGACGTTGAGAACGCTTTTGGCTCGACCGTGAAAATAAGGTTCAAAACAGCGGCGCATAACCATATACATAACGGGAGTATTCGCCAGGGTTCTAATATTGTTACAGTGAGGATAAAGGAACATGGGAAAGGTATTTGCTTCAGTATTCACAAAACCTTTCATCAATTGGGACATTTTCATGTTTCATTTTCATTTTCACGCAGATTGTGAAAAGAACGCAGTCTTGGTAACGCAGCTCTAAATTTGAAAATATGAATACAGTTCAAATATATTTTTGTTACTGTGATATACCATAATACCTTCGAAAGTGAAAAACAAGATTTTACATTGAACGAAACATGTTTTAAAGGTCGTTATCAACGCAAACATCTTCATACCCAACAATACTAGTTGTATATCAAATTTATTGATAGCAATGACAAGTCCTTGTCCAGTTTTAGTGACTGTCATATTTAAATGCCAAAGTTTGAACATGATCAGCCATGTTAGCAGTTTGGCTCCAAAAGCAGCATTCATTAAAAACAAAATGGCCATCAATCAGCCATTTCGTGCACGTTTCGGAATGGCAGAAATGCTTGTTTTTTGTCGAATTTTTAGTACGTATAAAGTATGTATAAAGGTTATTGGTCAAAACATGTCAGAGATATTACCCTGGAACTGCAGTTGTTAAAACAAAATGGCCGACAGTCAGCTATTTACAACTCAAACTACTGTAGCTTAGAAAGAGCTCCCGCGTGTATTGTATTTATTAAATTGACGAATGAAGTTGACGACTTTGAATTTGAGGCCAGTTCGGGGTAGATGGCGTTAGTTGCGATGGCAAAAAAATTCTTGGTTCAAGGCGAAGCTCGATCTTTGAGCACGGACGCTGTGATGTATTTCATTGAAGAAAACGGTAAGTCGCGGTTTTTACTTGGATCCCGACACCCGCGACATAGCGAGGGGTCACTGTATTTTGGTCATAAATTTGAAGCACCGGTTGCATGTCTCTATCCGTATCAGTACACTGCAGTCATGTATAGTAAGAAACACACATGAAACTAATAACAATTTTTAACTCTAAACTGAACATGTAGACGGCTTAACCCTAAGCATATACATGTGTATGTACCAAGTTTCATTGAATCTGATGAATGGTTGAGATTTTAGTGCAAAAGTTAAATATTTGTTAATTTATATGCAAAGTAAGTCATTGATATACACGGATTTCAACCAAAAACTAATCAGGTTTGCGCTTTATCCAAGAGCATTTATGTACCAAGCTTCATTCAAATCTGTTGAATGCTTAAAATTGGCTAAGTTATATTCAAATTAGTTCATTAACATAAGAACTGTGCATTATCCCAGAGAATCTGTATTAAGTTTCATTGTAATTGTTATGCAAATTAGGTAATTAATATGCACAAAAAATGTACATTATCCCAGAGTATTTCAGTATGAAGTTTCATTGAAATTTGATAATTGGTTCTTGAAATATCAGTGGAAAACGCACACACATGCATTAACCGGACTCCCATTGCTTGCTTCGTACATGGGAATAAAAAAACATAGTTAAACTTTAGTGACCTTATAAGAATTCAGAATGCTCCTTTTCAAAACAAACTAAAAATATGGATGGACAGTTGGAATAAATGTATTTAGATAGAAGTCTCTACTATAAATATTTTTAGTTCAATTTGTGTCTTGTTTTGTATGAACTAAAGTATAAATTTTGAAAGTTATTTACAAGAAAAATGTTTTGTTACAACACCCATTCCATTGTCACATAAACTGTATGTCAAATACATCACACTTATTTTTTAAGTGTACTTTATCTTCCAAAATGTGGATGCAACATTTTGGCCATTATGCATTTTTGGACTGATTGGACTGAACAGACATAATTCTCTATTGGCTTCAGATCTTGATTAAAAGCTTGGTACCCAAAAGGGTATTCATGGGAATGCTTATAGTAACTGAGATTTGTATTCTGTTAAGACAGTTTGTATTTTATTGGCATGTTCTCAAATATGTATTAGAAATTACTCCTTGAGTAAATTGTGCAACAGTTCATCCACAGTTTACATTGAAAGCCAGTCTAGTACTTCCCTGGGATTTTGGAGATACATTGCCAATGATATTGATTACAAGATAAATTAGTGACATTGAACACATACCACAGTGCATATTCCTTTAGGACCAGCCACGACATTTGCCCCTAATACATACTTTCTCTTCAAAGACGTGCATAAAAATGACATTCCTTAACGACCCATTATGTTTAATAGACATACCAAGTGTGAATAAAATATGTCTATGCATGACCGAGATCTGCTTCTGGAATTGCAGAAATGCTTGATTATGACAAAGACACTGGAGAATCTAGTGTCTTTGATTATGATAAATTTCAAGTCCCAGTTTTCAGACTACTTCTAAAGTAAGATAATAAAAACTACCTTGTATGTGTTTCTTTGTATCCAGAGGATCGAAAATGAATGTTTGAAAGACAGAATGTTTTATTCAAAAATGTCATCACACCCTTCATTCTGCTTCACTGTTGAATAAGGCAAGCAGTACTGTTTCAGTCGCAGTTAATAATACATTGCACCAAATTAAAAAACCATCCTGCTATTTTGTTGGTTTTTGGCCCTCTCCATAACGGTCTGGAAATGTCTAGATTTGGCTCATTAACTAATATTTACAACTACCAATGGGAACAGTGCTTGGAGAAATATATACAACTGAAAGTTGTGCTATATTTATCAACCAATCAGTGTTATGGATACCTACTGACTGCAGAGGCAATTGCCAAGCATTTTTTCAGACTGTTATTGAGAAGGCTGATAGACCCACAAGATAGGAGGGTAACCAGGCTCGTGTACACAGTGAACTAATAACTCTAATATAAGAACTATTCTATGATAAAATCTAAAATATAGATACAGCTTTATTCAGACATTCACAAAACAGAACTGCTTGAAATTGTGTGAACTAATTTACCTAAAAGCATGTTTTCATGACAGAAAATTTAATTTTAAAATGACATAATTGGACAACAATGGAGAGTATTTTGGGGTGGAGCATAGATGAAAGCCTGATAAGGACAATAGTTTGCATTAACACAAATACTCTAATTTGAGAATGCACCATTTGAATTATGTAAATTACTTGTAAAACCATTGGCTTCAAAACACAAGTACAGCACCAATAAATTAGTGGAACCTCATTGCAGAATGACAACTCACCAATGGCCCACTCTTGCATATTAATAATAAATAAAACAGAATCACTATTAAAAAAAAACATTTTCACTTGGACATCATTTTTGCTAAACAAATATATCCAGCGACGATACTTTTATTTTTGTTTGTAGTTTTTTGTGCGTCAATTAAATTTGCTTTAGAAAAAATTATTTCAACCTAAAATAAAGCCACCCACAGTAATATATACATTCATCAAATATGAATAGGTTGTTTGTTGGTTAGAGACATGTGTAAGGGGAAGGGGAGGGGGTGTAAATTGCACCACAAGTCTATTTACAAATTTGTATTTAACCACCTCTTTTCATGCACAAGTCTTTTATCCTGTCTGCCATTTTGTCAATTCTAGCTCAGCAATTGAAAATATTACATGTTCATCTCACTGTATTCATATTAGAAACGGACTGAAAGAATCATTTTAACATCAATCTGATGGAGTTTACTGCACAAGTATTGAACGTGTTCCAGACTAATGTTTCTACATTTGAACACATTCCTTTAATGACACTAGGCACTGCAGCAACAGCTTTTACACAGCGCAAAATGATTTATATTACCATTTTGGGCTATAGTCTCTGCAAAGAAAGATGCATAATTATAGGCTTAACACGAGTACACCGCAAAGTACGAACTTAGGCAGTAAGGGTTGACATCGTCCTCTGCACCACATTTGTCAGTACAATCACCATACTTATTTAGGTATACTTTGTTATATTCTTGAGATAATATCTTACAGGCTTAATTAGAATTAATACAAGGCTAGTACAAGAATACTGCGTACATAAGTTAATACTTCTCTTCCTCAATCGCATTAACCTCACTGATTTCCACAAAGCAGACATGTTATCATTTGTTTGCACACTCGATGAGCTTCAGCAAAATGCAAGCAATGCCACACTTGGGTGAAATTACATAAAACAGTTTGTATCGAGATTTTAGATCGGAAACAATCTGACCATGAAAAGGATGCAGATCTTGCACCAGGTACAGTTATACTGGCGACACAAGTGCTTTTCTAAAAAATACATGTAGGCAGACTCTGCAGACAAATCAAGATTATAATTAAGGCAGGATTTGACAAAGAGGACGATTTCTGATTGTCTTTACTGTTAAGGTTATCTAATCAGTCAACTGACACAAGATTCAATTCAGCAAATGAAATAAAACATGAAATTTCTTAATTCAGATGGTGGTGCAATAATCTAGATAACGTAGATTTATTACTTTTTAATGAGTCTGTTTCTTGTTCAATACAACTTCAATTATCCAAATTTATGATTATTAGAACTATTTCCTCATGGATACATTTACTGCCAATTATTGGTCCTCTTAGTTCAGCCTCATCAACAGCGAGGTTTGACAATAAGTACCGGTACCTCAACAAATGAACTCTGTGTTGTGACAAATCTGAAGTCCACCAAATCCGGTGAACGGTGCTGAAACAATATATAAAGATGAATATGCACAGTATCTTATTGGGCTAGTTATGCAAGTGCTGCATGAGTTACTATACTCTAAGCGAAGAGAGCCACTAGCTATGTGACCTGATACCTGCTCAATTTAAGATTATGAGCACGACTGGGTTCAACCATGCACCATGTGAAATTCTATGGTCATAATTGCTCAAGTCATTGAAAGTTTTCACACAAATGAAGAGCACAAAACAAAAGAACAAATATTATGGGGGGGGGGGCATTTATGTAGTTAAGTTTTTCTATTAGGTCATTGGAAAAGTCGCCATTCTTGAAAACAATGAGGTTTGATCTAAACAACAATGTCCAACATACACACACTATAGTGATGTGTTGAATTTTGCAATTATATTCAAAGCCTTTGATACATGACAGGAATTGCTGTACAAGCTGTCTCTATTGCTGACCAACTTGGTGTCTCTTGCTATTTGGCTTGGATGCTTTTGCTTGCTTGCAGTTGTGTGTTGCTGACTGGTTGGCTGACTGACTGACTGTGTGTGTGTCTTGCTATTTAGCTTGGATGCTATTGCTGGCTTGCTTGCAGCTGTGTGTTGCTGACTGAATGTGAGCTTGTTTGTTTGTTGTTGGCTGGTTGGCTGTGGTAGACATAGATTCTATAGCACACCAAATTGGTGTCTGGTGCTGGCTGGCTGGCATGATGTCTTGATTGATACGTGGTGATCTGCTAGCACATAATAAACCTGATTTGTGTACAAGATGACGATATTGGAGAGGCATCGGTTGGTGGTGTGGGGGTTGCATGTTGTGTAACGTGTGTATTGGGTATCGTAAACGAGTAGAAACTGTACATTAAAGAAAGGCCAATCCGACTTTCAACATGTTCAGCTGATCAATCCAGCACACTAACAGTCAATGCTGTGCATCGTCCATGTACATCCCACCCATTGCAGCATAATTCTTTTTTTTTTCAAAACAAACTAATGTAAATGATTTGAAACCATTCGTATTCCATAGGAGGTTGTCAAATGATACATCTTGTTAAAATCAGTAAATGGAAGAGTGGCAGTGTCAATAACCAACAGGGTTGGCTATTGTTATTAACTAGCCGCTGTACTAGTAGATGGTGTTCTCCTAATTCCCGGCTGTAAGTACTGGTCTTTTGATAGTATGGGTACATCTGCTCTCTCTTCCTTTTTGTAAACCAGACATCTCCTAATGAAATGCTACAAACAAATACAAAAGAATTGCATTACTTTGGTGTATTGCTAAAAGAGACTGAATTTAGCAATGGAATATATCAAGTCTCCGCAAGTTTCACCTCGCGCCATCCAGATAGAGTCCGAGTGGGCTCGACGTGATATATTTAACCCTGAACTTATACCCAAAAAAATATTTAATTTCAGGCAATGTGTACTGAAGTAAATTATCTATTTTTGATATGATAAATCAACAAAATTGTAATAATGAGCTATTTGTTGCTATATGGAAAAATACCACTAAACAAATTTTGTTTATTTACTTTACAAATCAGGATATCCTGGCAAAATTCATATCTGTTAAAACGGAAAATTAAGTTCATATAATATGAAAAACCATGGCAACATACTAATGTTCAAAGATATTTACATGTATGAGAGGAAAATATCAAAGTGCTGTTGTGTTGCATCAAGTTATCGAGTGTGCTGTGTTTAGCAGACAAAAAGCATCGCTTATTATGAGTATCTGCTGAAAAATGCCCTCATCCTCACCACACATAAACAGAGAACTCAAACTATTCTGAAAAAGGGATGTCAACTCACCTTGGCCTCGTTACTAACAACAGGTTTGGATGGAAAATCCACATCGGTAGCTTTAAGAATAGTATTCTGCTCTAGTATACTAGCTTGGGAAAGATTATTGCCAAATGGCTGAAACAAAGTAAATAGTGATGCCATTAATAGTGATAACAGTGAGAGTGACAAACAAAACAGCACAATCACATCACACAACCCAGATAGATGGCGAACTAATGCTAAAGATGTGGTGAATAGATTCTCAAATCTTATGTGATCTATTAGTTGTGTAACTGCTTATATAAATAACAATGCATGTCCATACTCAAACTACTGTAAAAATGACTAATTTTCACTGGGTTTAAATTTCGCTGATTTACCATTTCAGACACATTCAGTGGGTTTTAAATTCACTGTTTTATCATTTAGATAACGCGTTTTAATGCGAAATTTAACATATTCACTGGGTTTTAATTTAGTGCATTTTCCAGTCAGCGAAATAAGCAAAATTAAAACCCAATGAATAATTTACCCTTTTACAATAAGCCTTTTTTTATTATCCCATATACAAAATGTAATCAGTGTGCTTTATCAGGAGATGCACTTGTAATAGAACAAAAACAAAATGTAATCAGTGTGCTTTATCAGGAGATGCACTTGTAATAGATTAAATACAAAATGTAATCAGTGTGCTTTATCAGGAGATGCACTTGTAATAGAACAAATACAAAATGTATGTTAAGCATTTAAAAATAATATTAATGAAGAATATTTCAAAAATTGCTTATGATCATATTTTTAAAAATGCCATAAAATACTAACTTAAATGAGAAGGTAAATAAAATAATATCAGGACTCAACAATAACATTTATCAATTGTTTTTATGTTTGTTGAGAATAGAAAATCTGTGTTAATGAAGAAACAATATGGTGGTTATTTTACCTTTTTGCCATACAAACATTGATAGAAGATAATACCAACCGACCAGACATCGACTTTAGACGATATCTTGGGAGGAGATTTACCAACAATAAAACACTCTGGCGGTAAATACCTGAAAAAAACATGAACAAAATTATTAAGTATAATATTAGAAATATATTATATAATCCAAGTAACTGTGAATAAGTTAGAGTTCATTATTCTTACTCAATAATTCACAGCAAAGAGTAGTTTTAGAGAAGAAAGAACAAAATTATCAATAAAACATTACCCTACAAGAAAAAATCACAACATATGATATACAAACATATTGTATACAATGTTAATGAGAAAATACTGTGAAGTATGCAGGAAAGCAGTATGATGATTTTATCGAGATACACATACTTTTCCTGTTTGTAAGATAGCCAGTAATGCCAGCGAGAAGTACTGTTAAATCTGTATTAGAAGGTAAATCTCAAAAAGAAGCAGCACCCAATCTTTGTGAACAATTAATCAAAGAAAGCTTAGAAAGAACTCCCATGTGCTGAGAGTATTGGAGACACATTAAATATAATTCGAAATTACTTAGCTGAAAACTAATTATGCAAATCAGAAAATTAATATGACCAGATTTGAGTGTAAAACTAATGAGGTCTGCGCAATGTAACAGAAAATCTATGTCTCCAAGTTTAATTGAAATGTGATTAGAACCAAAAAATTATGAATTATTATGCTTATTAGGGAATTAATATGAACAGATTTTTACCCCAAACTAATTAGGTTTGTACATTGTCCTAGAGCATCTTTGTACTAAGTTTCATTGAAATGGAATAATTAGTACCATGAAAACT